AACCATATATTTTCATTAGCTGACATTACTATAGGGTAATTTTTAGAAGAGAAATTCCTCTCGTTATGCTGATTCATGCCGTTGTACAGTTTTTTTGATAATTGCTACGTTTGGTGACCTTGATAATTTCTAAAGTACACTTAAGGATACGGTAGACCTTCGCCGGCCAAATTTTGCCAAACTTTTTTCTTCACCCCAAACAAAGCAATACTATTTTAACTACAGTTTCCGAAAAAAACTTATTTTAAAATATTGAAACGCACTCGAGTTATTTACAAGAACGTTTCTTCGAACTGAATTCTTTGAGGCGCCAAAGTATGAAAAGCCGATTATAGTGTACAGTGTGTCAACACAAATGACTCCCGTAATGTTTTTCGCGACAGAACATTCTGGTTCGTATTAGTTGCATAAACATCTTCGTATGTCAATTATACGTGTTTTTCGTAGCAGTTCGTGAAATAATGGGAAGAGTTAAAAAGAAACTAGAAGCATATCTGCGTGAATTCGGGCTTTCAATATCGCACATCTGGAGTTATCTTTAGGGGACTGCCATATTGCCATCGTTACTGTCGTCACGCAACTTCATCATTACCGGTCACGAATAAGTCTACTTGTGTTTATATTTGTCTGCTGGAGTGTAATGAATGTTGTTGTGGTACTAGACAACAATCAAAATAATAAATTACCATATAGGAGTAAGTTCCTGTAGATGCCAAAGGTTGAAATTTAAGGACTTTTCAATGACTTTAAAGGCCAAGTTTTAGAAAATTGAAGGACCACTTTTGGAAAGGTTTGCATGAGCAATTTTAAAATCATTTGATATTATTTCTCAGGTTTTCCATGAAGGTACTGTAATTTTCAACTTGAAAACTGCTAAAGAAAGATCATTGCAAAAATCAAGCCTTAGTCCTCGAATTTAAGTACTTCACAAGGCCTTGAGTTTTTAATTTTTAAATTCAAGCATCTTCAAGGACTTTCAAGGCTTTTACAAACCCTGAGTAGGTAATGTACTTGTCTCTGCAGGGAGAAGGGAATTTTTTATCTATTATTGGTACCAAGTCAAGGTTTGTTGCCAGATGTTCACCCAAGGAGAGTTGTCAGAAATCAGTAGATTGAGGCAATATTACTGTTCAAAAACATAAGCAATTTTTTGGTCAGAAGTTCTTTTCAGACTGATGACCAACCAGGCACTTTTAAATGCACTCGTGCACGATGCAAAACGTGTCCTTTCATTCACAACACTGATAAAATATCGGGACCCAAACGATCCATTAAGATCACCGATCACTTCACGTGCACCTCCGCCAATGTAATCTATTGCATAACTTGCACTTATTGCAAAAAGATATACATCGGCGAAACAGGCAGAAGACTAGGTGACCGATTCCGAGAACACCTTCGCGACGTGGAAAAGAATGACAAGGACACATCGAAACCAGTCGCTAGACA